GGGGACACAGAGGGCAGACATTTGGGACGTGAACAGTGTTCACTTGTTATAAAAACATAATGTCTCTGTTCGTAACCTAGCTGTGTCACGCGAAATCACAGAAAGACTGACGAAATTTTCGCGTTCGCGAACCTTGCCCAGTAATGGAAATGGCTGCAAGGACAAAGGCTATATAGACTGGGACTCACTCCCACCTCGATTACCCATCGAGTGACTAACAGTAATTTTAATTTTACAGCGTAATTATACAGTAGTAGTAATTTTTGAGAGAAAAACTGTTCTCCCTCATTTCAGGACACGTCTCATCTCATGATCTTATGGCAAGTGATCCTTTCACTATCGTTGTACTTGCCTATGGAACCAGCAACTCCAACACACTGCAGACTTCAGAACATTGATGAGTCTATGTATGTATGTATGCATGCATGCATGCATGTATGTATGTATGTATCGTACCCTATGGGCGGCCAAACCGCCCAAGCGATCTGGATGCAATTTTCAGAGGGCGATTTCCTATACCCGGGGAGTGTTCCTAGACGGGAAAAAATACGTAAAAACGTCAAACTCGCCGAAAAATCCGTGAAAAATTCGTCAATTCGTGAAACTTCACACAATGTCAGCACTCACTGTACAGTGCTGCCACACACAGAAAAATCTATGAGAATTTATTTCCCTCACCTCATCAGCTGCTGGTATTGTAAAACCGAAACCAATACTAAAACAGAGCACAACCAGGACCAGTTGAGAGGTTACGACTGCATTGTTTATCAAGAGGCTTTGAAATGAGAAGTGCCAGCCATTCGTACATGCTGTTATAATAACTTTTTGTCATTTACACCATATTACTATTATGTTCCAGGGGCTCTAAGTTGGGTTGTGCTGTGATATAAATGTCATACGTAATCGTTTTTTACCATGCTTATTATCTTATTACACTGATTTGTAAATATTGATATTGTGTGCAATGTTATTCTCCATTATTACCCAATGTTTCTATTGTGTCCGATTATTAGTAGTATGAATTAGTAGCACGATTTTACCCAGCGCAGCGGGTACCCGCAGCTAGTATATATATATATATCAAGAGCTAATAATATATAAGGGTATATATATATTATATAATATATATATATATATATTATATAATATAAGGTATTATTAGCTCTTGATATATATATATATATATATATATATTGTCGGCTGTTCTACTAACTGCTTTTGCCTTCGTACTGACGGTTGGTTAATGTAATGATTGTTATTTTTGGTCCAATTGTTTTCTAGTGACCTGAAATTTCTAGTATATAATGGTCCCCAACTTTATCTATTTGTATTGATCTGTTGTTGAATGATATATTATGTCTTTCTTGGCATTTTAGTTGTTATTGTTGCTGCGGTGTGAATATATCAGTCAATTTTACTGACTTTACCATTTGCCTTGTTTTAATCCCGTGTATTGCACGCGTAATATTGGCTACCTACGGCAGTGTAGTTTTCCAGTGATTTGAACTTTCTAGTGTGCATTTGCCATCTACCATTACCTGATTTAATGAACGTCTTTGTTGGTAAAGTACTATTTTAATGTGATGATTGCAGTTATTGCATTAAAAACACTTCATTAATATACGGTTTTGAGTATATCATTGTGGTAATATAAGATTTAGTATGTGTGTTGTTCCCATATGTATGTCAGTGACTGTAGCTTTCATGTTTACTATTGCCTTGCAGTCTTGGACACATGGCGCGTCTATTATATTATTATTGGAAGTGTGTACACACTTGTAAGACTTTTAGTTGTCCCTGGTATGGGTACTTGTTTAAACTAGTGCGTTTTACCGCACTGGAGGTGAAATGCTTACAAGCGCATGTTTTTATTTTTATAAATGTAAATGAGAACATGTAATATAAATTATTAAGTAAATAAATAATATAACTAAAAGAGTTAACAATTAACGCTCATGTGTGACGCACTGCCATTGCGGGAGCAACGTCCATAGATGCAGGTTAAAGAATAACAGGAGTGTCCATAAATCTGAATGGCTCGACGTACGGTGTTAATATTTGGGAGTATTGTCAAGTTTCATCTGCAATCTTCATTGCCTTATTAGCAGAAGATTTGTATATCCCATCCACTGACGTGCGAAGAATTTTTGTCCATTCTCATTAGGAACTTTGCGTGAAGCGTGTATATTTTGTTTCTTGTCTGTTGCAAAAGCATGAAGAAAGCCCGGGGCACTGACCCCACATTATGGTAGGTATGTGCCACTGCGAAGTCAAAAATGGGGGGTCTGGAACTAACTCAGACCTGAAAATGGGGGTCTCTGGAACTAATGTTTGTTGAATGTGGGATGCACTGGGACTGCATGGCTATGTTCGAAAATTGGCGTCTCCGGAACTAGGATTTCGTTGAAATTCAATGCTATGGAACTGGACACGTTTAAAAGAGTGGGTCTCCGGAACTGTGGTGGAACTGTGATTTGCTTTAAAATCTATGCTGTAGCATTTGAACCACTCCATCCATCCATATACGCATGCGTTGCATGCATGCCTTCACGGCCCGCCTTCAACGTATTCTGAAGTACGATGCACTGGAACGGAAATGTTAAAAACTAGGGTCTCCGGAACGGCAAAAATGTAAGATCTGCATGGTAACTAAACTTGTGATGCTCTAGCTGGAACGAGATATATTATTAATAATGCGATGCACTGGAACGGAAGTTTAGGGTTGAAAATTGGGGTCTCTCCCGCGTCACATACCTACCATGCAATATATATGGAGTGCCCCCCCCCCCGGAGAAGCCACATAGAAATAAATCAAAGCAAAAGTTGCTAGCATCGAAGTATAGCCGAAATAAAAATTTACCAATCGACAGCTGGCTGCCTATTGTATTATATCATTTTCTCTACACACTCGTGTGCTACTACACCAAGACAAACTTACAAGTCGCGACAAGTGAAAACCGCTGCAGCAGAGAGAAATTGACCAAAATAAACTGTTTATTATAAAGTCAAATTATGAGTTGTTATCTCACGTTTATTTCACATGATTCAATTTATCTGCTGCTCCGTTTATGTGTTAATCCATTATGCTACCCAATATCACAAAACGCGTCCAAGCAGTTTCATATTACGTACTAAAACTTTCGCGAGATAATCGCGTTTTCCGCCAACACTGCACGGTGGTTACAAGTTAACATCGCGCTTACTTAGTTTTGGAACCACCACGCGCGCAAACACGCATACATTCATTGTTGAATCCTCTATGTATCCAAGTATCTAGAGTAAATCAAGTATTAAGTTCTCAATAGATGAATGGACATATAGCTGATAGTAAATTATTGAAACGCTTCAAGTGCCTGTGTGACGGTGCGGGGCAGACCAGATCCGGTTAAAGCTCAAGACAATGGCGGATGTACCTTTCAGAACTAAATTACTATTGTAACATCACCTAGCCGACGCGAACAAAAACAATCAGGCGAGGGGCTGGTCCGCCGGTATTCATGGATATAAAACTAGGTTCGCCGGACATATGCGGATCTTTAGAGCTCAAGACAATGGCGGACGGTCGTTTCTGAAATAATTACTACAATAGCATCACCTAGGATCGGCACACCGCTCACATCACCACCGCAGCATCGGCACACCGCTCACAGCCTCACATCACCACCGCAACAATCGGCGTCAGCACGGTTTTCCAAAATAAATCCAGTTCTCGTTGACCGTTATATAAAGCCCGACCGCTAGGCATCGTCACACCGTCACTGCGACTTTTAGGTAAATACATAGTTAATAAGTTATTTAAAATTGATTTTGCAGTCCAACGTACTGCTACTACGGCGTCAAACGTATGCGTACGTGCGTGCGTACGCTCGTGTGTCAATGTGGCATGCCGCATGTCCGTCATATCAGCAGGGGCGTGTACAGGGGGGGGGGGTCCGGACCCCCCCTGCTCGCGCAGAAAACGCATCTAAGGGAGTCTAATTTCAAAATTTTTCGGGGGGAGGGCCCCCATACCCCCCACCCCTCCGCGTGCTCGCAAGTTTGGGTTACGGTTAGACCCCCCCTGGTTCAAATCCTGTACACGCCCCTGATCAGGGAGTCTATAATCCCTGCATGGTCATATGCACGTTTCGACAGCAGCATCTGTATCTACATTAGGCAGCCCCTTCAGCAGAAGCTTGAGAGCAGGGTCATTACGGGGTCATTACTTTGCTTGCGAAGCTATGCTTGTCTCTATGTCAGCAGGGGAGGTCGCATGCATGTGTGTATACGCGCGCTAGTGCGTATGCGTACTGTAACTCAGAACTTGTCATGGGAACTTGTTATGTCCGCCTCCCCAACCACGCACACACGCACACACATATATATACGCACGCATGCACGCACGCACACAGTGCAGGGGCGTAGCTACGGGGGGGGCCTAGGGGGGCCACGTGCCCCCACAAATTTGCTGTGCCCCCCCAGCGTGCCCCCCCACTGAAAATTGATGTTTCATAAAAAAAAATTGAATTAAAAACAATGCCGTTAGAACAGTATAATAAAGAAAAGTTGTATATTGTGCCCCCCACGAAAATGTAAGGCCCCCCCAGTGCCCCCCCCCACTGAAAAAATCCTAGCTACGCCACTGGCACACACACACACGCTTTAGCACACGCTTAGCACACGCTTTACACACATTGGCAGTTGCCACCATAGAACCAGTTTACCACTCAACTAGAACAAACTAGTGGTTGCCACCCGCCCCGAGAAATGTACGTAGATACATTATGTGGTTAATGGCGGTCGATCACCTTCCCAGCAGCAGCCGGCTGTTTGGGGTGATAGGATATCCGATATGTTTACTAGGCACTTCTAATTTTAACATATATTTTAAATTTAATTAGGGTTAGAGTTAGGGTTAGGGTTAGGGCACTTTTTAGGGTTTTTGCATCATTCTTTAATATATCGTAAAATTAGAAGTGCCTAGTAAACATATCCTATCACCCCAAACAGCCGGCTGCTTCCCAGCACGTATTGTGACGTCATTGAACGACAAAACAAGCTCAACCAATAGCAGCGCTCATTACAGACCTATGTTCTTGATTCACCTAGGGAAAAAAATCACGCTCCCGAGTCCCAGCGTACACCATGTACCGTGACATCGCACGTGTCTTGGCCACCCAAGCAAATCTCGCTGCCAGTGGATTATCCTGCTGCTTTTCCGCATGCAGTTCTGTGCCTTTTAACGCATTTCAGTTATTAGAGGGGCCCACGTAAGCCCCTAGCAAAAAGTGCTGGGTCAACATACCACGTGGTTTTTAATGTTTATTTACGTCTGCGAATCACCCAGAGGCGCGATGCATTGCAGTACTGCGCCTGCTGCCTAGCAGCTTGCAACTGTACGCGCGCGGGCTATAGTACGGTACTAGAGCTACTTCTCGTGTAAATTACCGACCAGGCTCTCCGACTGTTACACGGCGTAGGACCTCCACCACGCCGTTCTACTCCGACCACCACCTCTCGCCAACGTAGTGAACTTGTGGCTACTTCCCGTGGTGCGTGTGCGAGCAATCGCGAGTTAGCGCGTATGTCGCTTTTCAGCGGTTCCAGTCAGCGAATATTTCAATGATCGTTCTCGAACTTGTGAGTACGAGCCAGCGAGCGTAGCCCGACCGGGCTGGGCTCTACGACTGTTATACGTCGTGGGAATCGACGTGTTCCGACTGTTCGTGGCACTTCTCGCCGCTCGCATAAGGTAACTTGTGGCTAGAGCCATTGTACATACCACGCAGTGTGATGAGTCGCCGTTATCACCGAGGATCACGGCGAATCATCACACTGCGCATAGAGTGTAGAGCCTGTGAGAATAGTCTGCGATTTGTGTTTACAGCCTCTGTGTTTCAATCGGTTCGAGAAGCTGCAGTTATAGCAGTTTTGGAGTGTAAGCCTGGCTTTCTAGCTGTTTCCGGACCAAGTTGGTCACACCCTAGCTCTAGTAACTATATAGCCCGCGTACAGTTGCTGCAGCCGCCAAATTCCCTAACCCTTCGGCAACTGTACGCGGGCTATAGTTACCAGAGCTAGTCACACCCAGTCTATCACAATGTCTCTTCGACGAGTATACATCGTCACTTCAATACTGCGTGCATGCAGTCATACATCTTATCAGAAGTGAATAATAATAGATATTAGCTATATTAAATACATCTGTTATTATTCACTCCTGATCTTATCTCTCGTATACCGCTTATGTCATCGTGAATATTGCCATGCCGTCCTTTCTTTCTGGTTTCAGAGCCTCGGATAATGTAAGAAGCTGACAGAATACCAACTGCTGTTTCTTTCCTCTGGAACAAAATGTGACAGCAGTGCGGCTATTAAAGTTCTAAAACTATCTAGCTGCTGTCGCAGTTGCCCCTAGAGTAATGGCAGATAAAGCAAAGCGAATCTTCTTGTTGATGATATCAGCAGTGTGTTTGTTCTTACTCTGGCTTGTCGGGTGGCAGCTGCCCGAATTTTATATGCGGCAGAATAAACTGAGTACCATATCCATTCCCGGGCACCGTAGTGTACGCAAGCATAGATATATATTGAACAAGACTCATAGTATCTTACAGTACGATACAGGTGAACCTGAACCACCCTCGAAAACTATACTCTTCTGGACAACCTATTATTCTTATAGGAAATTGTGGCCTTTCGATAAAAAATTCCCATTGGGGCCATTATGTCCTTATCGCTGTCGCTTAACTCACAAAAAATCACTCTATAACCAAAGTGATGCAGTATTATTTCATGCGTGGACAGTGGATATAGATAAACTACCCAAATGGAGATTTCCATACCAGCAATGGGTGCTATACAACCAAGAACCGCCTTTCAGATTGGAAGGAGCTCATTTTCATGCAGCGGACTACAACGGACTGTTTAACTGGACGATGTCCTATAAGACTAACTCGGACGTGTACTCTCCGTATGGCAGACGGGGTCGTATCAGCGGAAACGAAAAAGAACCTACACAACCACGAACCAAATTCGACAGAAAGCCTGCTGCAGTTGCGCTCATACGGCGCTGTAGTAGCACTCAAGGTCGGGTGCAGTTTGCTTACGAACTTGCTGAACATTACCCGGTACACTTCTATGGGAGATGCTTTGGACAGACCATCTGTCAAGATATGCCACGTGCAGACGCAAGTCGGTGCGTGTTGGATTTTATTGGGCAATACAAGTAAACAAACTTCTACATTACAAGTAATCTAATTAAGTGATCGTAACATAATTACAATGTATATATAATCACTTGAAAATATTACTATATGTTGTAAGTGTAGATGGCATTTATCTGCCTCTGTTTTGTTAGGGCTTTAAGGCTACAACGCAATATTAACTATGTCGTATACGTATATACCCTCTGACAAAATTAAGACGACATTTACATCTCAAGAATAGCATCCAAAACAGGGTTCACGGATGAAGGAATAAAGGCAGAATGAATTAAAACTGTCGAATGATAAAATCAGGAGTACATTATCAATCTCCTAATGTTTATTTGTAATGTCTGATAGTTAATCATAATGATAATTAGTCATGTAATATAATAAATTATATATATAGTAGCTTCAATGAACGTATTCAACTTAATCAACCTTATTAACGTCCTTCTCATAGTATTGGCAATGTTGACTAACGTTGGATACTGAGCACATGTGGGTGGATGGATGGATGGATGGATGGACGGACGGGCAGACTGACGGATGGATAGGAGTATTGGTGAGCCAGTTCTGTGCAAACCTGCGTGGAATGTAATAATAATGATATAATATTGTTCTCCAGGTATTACCTAGCATTCGAAAACAGCGTGGGATGCAGTGACTACATCACGGAGAAATACTGGGTGAACGGGCTTCGCAGTGGCTCGTTGCCGGTCGTAATGGGTACCAGCAGAACAGACTACGAACGACTCGCCATCCCCGGCTCCTACATTCACGTTAATGACTTCAAGTCGGCCGAAGCTCTGGCAGCGCATTTACGCAATCTCGATGCACATGCAGACGCTTATTCTGCTTACTTCAGCTGGGTGAACAAGTATAAATACAGTCGCAACCAAAAGTGGTGCGAGCTATGCAGCCAGCTGCACGAACAACGGTCGGGTGCGACGCAAGTTTATGATAGCTTGGAGCAGTGGCTTGGCGATTGCCGTGCTAATTAACTATTATCTGTTGGGGAACCTCTCTCCCGAGAATACGTAAAATCAATCCACAATATACGTCCTAACACGCTCACCTATATCTAGCCCGACCAGGCTGTGCGACGGATTGTCTATACGGTATTCTAACCCTAGCAATACCGTTTCTTGGAGCTTACCTATAGAGTACCGAAGTGATGACGTCACGGTGGCATGACAACGAGCCTGCTGGTTCTACACAATCA